CCCAGTGTAAATGCTTTCCTTTTAGATCTAAGAATTTAGAGAAGTGAGAATGGGCGTGAACTTTAGTTAGATATAGAGCAGGGTTTTTAATTTGGGGTCTGTGGGTCACCAACCTGGTTATTGTCAATCAGTCAGGATCCTCTGGAGAGCTTATTAAAATTAGAGGAGACTGGGTCCCCCTCAAGAGACCCTGGTCAGGTAGGTTTGGGTCAGGTATCATTGTTTTCTGAATACTTGGCAGGTGTTTTAGACCAGCCGTTGAGGGTGAAAGCCACTGCCCAACGATAGCATTTCTTGAAGTGTAGGAGTAGCATCTGGCATCAGAATCAGGAGGGTCTGTTAAAATGCAGGTTCCTGGGCCCCACCCAGGCCTACTAGATCTGCTCCAGTGAGGAGCAGAGCTAGGACTCTAGTTTACTAAGACCCCAGGTGAGTTTTCTTTTTAGGATTTTCTTTTATTTTTAATTTTTTATTGAAGTATAGTCGGTTTATAATGTTAATTTCTGGTGTACAGCATATTGTTTCAGTTACACACACACACACACATATATATATATTCCTTTTCGTATTCTTTTTCATTATAGGCTATTATAAGATACTAAATATAGTTTCCTGTGCTATACAGTAGAACCTTGTTGTTCATCTATTTTATAAATGTAGTAGCTAGTATCCGCAAATCCTGAACTGTCAATTTATCCCTCTACCCTTTCTTTCCCCCCCGGTAACTGTAAGTTTATTTTCTATGTCTGTGAGTCTGTTTCTTTTCTGTAAGTAAGTTCATTTGTGTCATATTTTTTTTTGGATTCCACATATAAGTGATATCATACGGTATTTTTCCTTCTCTTTCTGGCTTAGAACGACAATCTCCAGGTCCATCCATGTTGCTGCAAATGGAATTATTTCATTCTTTTTCGTGGCTGAGTAATATTCCATTGTATATATAAACCACACCTTCTTTATCATTTGTTGATGGACATTTAGGTTGCTTCCACATCATGGCTGTTGTAAATAGTGCTGCTATGGACAGTCAGAGGCATGTATATTTTTGAATTAGAGTTAAACATTTAAAATTTTTGAGATAATTATGGATTTAAGGAAGTTGCAAAAAATGTACAAAGGGATCTTGTGTACCCTTTACTCAGTTTCCCCCAATAGTAACCCTTTGCATAACTATATTACATTACAAAACAGAGAAATTGACACTAATACAATCTGTAGTACTTATTCAGATTTTATCAGGTTTACACACACTTGTGTGTGTGTGTGTGTGTGTGTGTAGAATTCTTTGCAGTTTTATCACATGTATAGGATTGTGTTACCACTACCACACAGCCAAGATACAAAACTGTACCATCACTTCAAAGCTCTTTAGTGCTACCCTGTATAGTCAACACCACTCCATCACCACTCCCATCCCTAACCTCTGGCAACCACTTCTTCTGCATCTCTATAATTTTGTTGCAAAAATGTTATCTAAGTGGAATCATATAATATGTGACTTTTCTAGGATGGTTTTGAGAGAACTGACACTTTATACTGTGGAGTATTCTAATCCATGGATGTGGTCTCTCTCTCCATTTATTTAGGTCTTCTTTATTTCATCAGCATTATAAATGGCACTGGGCCTTAATTTTGGTTTCCACATGTTCATTGTTGGTATATATTATGCTACTGATTTGTGTGTGTGTGTGTATTGATTTTGAATTGTACAGCCTTGCTGAACTGACTTATTAGTTCAGGAATAGTCCTTAGGATTTCATATGTGGACAATCAGGTCATCTGAAAGTCAGGACAATTGTTTTTATTCCTTTCCAATCTATATGGTTTTTATTTATTTTTCTTGCCTTATGACACTGGCTAGAACTTCCAATAGTATGTTGAATAAAAGTAGTGAGACTGGATAACCTTGCCTTGTTCCAAATCTTAGGAGAAAGCACTCAATCTTTCACCACTGAGTGTGATGTTAGCTGTTTTTTGTAGGTTTCTTCTAGATACTCTTTATAAAGTTGAGGAAGTTCCTCTATTCCTGAGAAGCTGTATCATAAATGAGTGCTAGATTTTGTCAAATGCTTTTTCTATATCACTTGATATAATCACATATTTTTTCTTTTTTACAGAGTTTATATGATGGCTTAAAAATATTGAGCCAGCCATGTATACTTAGAATAAACACCACTTGGCTGTGGTCTGTAATTCTTTTTATACATTGCAGGATTTGATTTGATATTTTGTTGAAGATTTTTGTGTCTAAGTTCGTGAAGAAAATTGGTTTATAGTTCTTTTTGTACTATCTTTTTCTGGTTTTGGTATTAGGGTAATACTGGCTACATAAATTGAATTGGGAAGTTCAGTTATTCCTTTCTTTTTTATTCTCTGTGTAAAATTATTGTAAATTCTTCAAATGTTTGTTAGAATTCTCCACTGAAACCATCTGAGCTGGGAGATGTCTTTTCCAGGAAATTTTGAAGTATAGATTCAATACCTTTGATGGCTATAGGATTATTCAAATTGTTTATTTTCTCTTAACCGAATTTTAGTAGGTTGTGGTTCTAGGAAGGAATTGGTCCGTTTCTTCCAAGTTGCCAAATTTCTTAGTGTACTGTTATTTGTCTTAGTCCCTTATCCTTTTAACAGCTGCAGGACCTGTGCCGATAGATGGTTTCACTCCTGATGTTGGTGATTTGTGTAGTCTCTCTTTTATCTTTATCAGTCCTACTAGATGTGTATTCATTTTATTGATTTTCCCAAAGAACCAGGTTTTTGTTTTACTAATTTTTCTACTGTTTTTCTGTTTTCAGTTTCATTTATTTCTTCTCTTTTGTTATTTCCTTCCTTCTGTTTAAGTTTTTTGTTCATTTTCTAGTTTCTTGAAGTAGGAACTTGGGTTTTCTATTTAAGATCTTTTCTCTTTTTTAAGGTAGCAGTTTAAATTTCTCTCTCAGCACTGCTTTAGCGGCAACCACAAATTTTGATGTGTTGTTATCTAATTATTAAATTATATATAATTATAATATAGCAATGTGTCTGTTTTCTTTATAGCTCTTTTATTTCATTTTTCTTGCCTTCTTGTGGATTACTTGAATGTTTCTTTAAATTCTATTGTGAGGTTTTCCAAAAAATGTTTTTATATTACCTTTTATAGTATAATTTTCTGAGCAGTTGCATAAATATACATACTTAATTTATCACCATCTACTGGTATCAATGCTTCACTATTCTGAGTAAAGCGAGGAAAACTTACTTCAATTTTGATCCCTTTATCCTCCTTACTTTTAAAATATAATTATCTTAAGTATTTTCTCCAAATATATTGAACACCATGTCAGATGATGTTAGAATTTTGCTTCAATCATCAAATATGACTAAAGAAATTCATAATTGTTCACCTGCTCCATTGCTCTTCTTTCCTTTCTGAAGTTCCAAAATTCCTTCTGTTATCATTTTCCTTGGGCTCCAGAGGTCCAAGAACCCCTCAAATTTTACTTTTAAGTGCTGTGACTGTCCATTTTTCTTAGGAGAATGTTCACAGCTTTCACTAGATTCTCAAAAAATTCCATGACATGCCCCATAAAGTTTATAAAAGCCTTGGTTTATGGTCTTACTGTGTTATTTTTCATCTTCCCAGCTAAAACCAATTAAAAACTAGTTAGGATTCTTTCCTCTACCACATCTGTTGAAGCCCTGTGTCTCAAAGATTTCCCCAACAGTTTGGGGAAATGTGATCACTCAGATGAATATTTCTGAGTGCCTAACAAGTGCCAGACAATCTTTTTCCCCTCATTAGTAAGAAGGGGAAGCATTAAAACATTAAAGACGATTTTAGCTTATAAAAAGTTCTTAGTAACTCAGAAATCAGAGTAAACTTTGCTGCTTTCATGTCTTGTGACTTTGTCTCTTACTGCTCTGAGCTGGATATACCAGCAGTCAAATGGTATCCTGAAAATATAATTCCGTATACTAAACACATGGCATCTGCAGTGGGCCCACTTGTCATCACTCTGATTTGCTTGACACAATTGGTGCCCAAGCACTTACAGTTCCTCCAGGCAGGCTTGTCCCCGGACAGTTGCACAACTGATTCCTCTCGCTGGTACCTCCTCATCCCCCTATGCCACCCACCTCCCTGGAGTAACTCCTGCTCATCTTTTAGAACTCACTTTGGGAAGCACCACCTCAGGAAGACTTTGTTCTCTTCTCCAAGTGTTGAGTTGGGTGTGCCTCCAGTGACACCCCTGCCAGATGTCACAGTGCATGCTCATTACCCGCTTGTCAATTCCACCAGACTGTGAGGCCCTTAAAGGCTGTGACTGGGTTTTGGTTGCTTTTGTGCCTCCAGCACTTTAATAAATATAACAAGACATGTCCTTGGGCACCACCTCCTGTTAGAGCTCACCACCATCGCCGACTGGCTGAGCTTTTCTTCCATTCCTTTGTTAGTGTCCTAAGTATCTGCTGAGCTCCTTTAGATGTAGGTATGGCAACCAGATGTTCAGCCCTTCCCCAGTAGGTTTAATCTCTCCTGAATTCTCACAAGCATTTATTAATTCATTTTAGACTTTTTCCAAGAATCAACAGAAAAATTATTGGTCTTTTCTTGCTAGAATGCCTATCTCCCCAGTTTTGGAAAATATGGAGAACACTGATCTCTGCCATTTTCCTTCTTGGTGTTACTACTGGATCTTATAAATTCCTTATTATCATGTTTAAATTTGCAGATCTGTCTTTCCTATCAAAGTATGAGCTCCTTAGGGGTTAAGGTTGTATCTCATTCATCCCAGAGTCTCCAGGGACTAGTACAAGGTGGAATGAAGCTCTACTGTTCCTCATGATTAGCACATGCATTTCCTTTCCTTCTCCGCACCTTTATCTTTTAATCTTCATTCTAAGCCACTCTGTATTCTTTTTAGAAAGGAGAAGTGGGCAGATAAATACAACACATTTTTTTTTCTTCATCACCAGAAATACAACACATTTTAAAGTAATTTTCTTATTCCTCCCAGGTACTATCTCGGTCGTCGGATGTTTATTGTTATCTCAGAGCCAGGCATGATCAAGCAGGTGTTGGTTGAGAAGTTCAGCAACTTTACCAACAGAATGGTATGTAATTGTCTCTCCGCACATGGATGGATGGGGAATCGTTCTAAGATGCAAGGACTGCACGGCGCATCTAATAGGGATGTGACTGGGCCTCTTATAGGGTTTAGATCAGTTCAACTCAAAACCGAGCTCCCCAGTGAATTCAGGTTTTCAAAAGAGATGTACAGGACTGCTACTAAAGAATGACATTTACACTTAAGAAATGCCTCAAGAAAGCTAAAGCTCAGGAGAAGTTGTGGCTGATAAAAACGCTAAAACCAGGAGAGTTTTTAAAGCTGTGTTCAAAGGTAGAGGAATCCAGGGGGCACAGCTCAAATGACTGAGGAAGACCACCAAGGTTAATAAATATCAGAGGGAAAGCAAAATTTCAAGCCTCTTATGCTCACATCTTTCCCAGAGAGAATAAACGTCTTAAGGCTGGAAAAGGAAGACAAGCAATGTTTCAAGGGGAATTTGTCTCCAAGTAGCAAGTCTCCAACCCACGAAAGGATGTACATACTCCATCTTTTCTGGAAAGTACATACCCTACTTTTTAATTTTTGATGAGAAATTCCAAAGGATGGAAGAGGGGACAGAAAATAGCAAAGGTCAGTGTTGTCCACATTTTCCAAAAATGAGGAGATAAGAATTCTAGCAGAGATGACCAATAACCATGTTGATTCTTGGAAAAAGTCTAAAGTGAATTAACAAATAGTTGTTTGTGAGAATTCAGAGAATCACTCTGTGTGCCTACCTTTTTTTTTCTTTTTTCTTTTGTTAAACTCATCTTCCATTCTTATAGGAATAGTAAGCAATGTATTCACTCTTGTTGGATATTTGACAAACTTTTACAAACCTGCCATACATGCCAGGCACTGTCTAGATACTGGTTAGAAAGGGACAGAAAACAGTCTTGTCCTCAAGGAGCTCATAGTCTAGTGACAGAGGCAGAGAGGTTAAGAGACCAGTTCACTACAGTGTGGTGAGCACCGCTGCCCTCCCCCAGGATGGGGACAGGAAAAGGCTTATTAGATGTGAGGTGCCTGGGACTAAGTCTTGAAGAAATTAGCAGTACCCCACCCCTCCTGTGTTCTGTCCTAGTTGAACAGCTCGAGTGTTTTTTTCTCATCAAATTTCACAGGAACATATGAAACTGGTACAATTATCATCTGTATTTTATGGACAAAGAAACTAAGGCTCAGAGAGGTTAAGTGACACCCCTGACCATATGACTCACATGAGGAACAGCAGGGATTCAAATGCATCTCCCAACTCAAGCCCGGGGCTCTTTTTACTGCCACTACAGTAACAGCTGCCTCGGAGGACATTTCTGCATTGTCCAGTTTTCACCGAGTAATTGGTTATTCACCAAAACATACACATCTTCCAGCCCCAGAGCATCGTGCCCAATTCCAGACACCTCATGGCCACTGGAGGTTAGGAGGTGACTGCCTGGCCTGCTAACTCCATCACCTCGGAATGAAAGGAGGAATTGCAGAAGCTTAACTACTTCTCTGCCTCCACTTGATTCTCTCCCCAAACACTGTGTTGTTATTTCCCTGTCCAAAGTCCCCTGAAGAGTTTTTGTGGCCTTGGCATCTTAGAGACTGATCGGATGGTCAAGTGCACTCAGGGATTGTTGTGCCTCCGGACTCAGTAAGGAACGTTGATGAAAGAAACAGGGGAAGCCAGTGAGTGCAGCAAAGGCACTCCAAGAGCCTGCCACTGTCTTGAGCAAGGGTGAGCCCCTGAGCAGTGAGATGGGACGTGTCAGCCATGTGTCTGCACATTGCTTCATGTGACATCCAAGAGGTGACCAAGGCACAGAACACCGCAAGCTGACCTGGAAGAGGCTGCTCTCCGATCAAGGCATTCGGGGCAGACGTACAGTCAAAATACACGTTCAGGCAGAGGGGACAACATCAAGTTACCTAACTTCAGTCCATTTCTCTTCCAAACTATTTGTCTTTCCTTCCTATTTTTTTCCCACCCCCTGATTCAGATTTCCAGGCTTCAACCTCCAGAATATAGTGCCAGTTTCCTTCTTCACTCAACACAGTGCCCTCAAGACAAAGTCAAGTTCTCCAGATGAGATTTAAGGGCACCCATAATTTAGAGCCATTGCATATGCTCCAACCTCCCCTCTCACTGCTCCCCAGTGTAAGCTGTCACTCCTGCTGGACTGGTCTCTCCATTCTGTCTATAACCTGCTCTGGAAATCCCTGCCTCAGTGCCTTTGCTCATGCTGACACTCCCTCTAGAACTGGAGGCGGCACAACAGTGGGTCATGCATTTACTAGCAATGTAAGCCTGAGCAAATTACTTAACTTCTTTAAGGCTCTCACTCCTCCTTTGGAAAATGGGGATGTGCTCTATCCTACTGAGCTGTTAGAAGGCTAAATGAAGTCATGCATATAAGTCCTCTTTTACATGCATGCAAGACAATTTCTCACTGTGCATCAGCTGCTATTAACATGAAGATCCTCCAACTCTTCCACACCCATCAAACCCTAAGTGTTGTTTCAGGCTGTCCTCAAATCCTGCCTCTCCCACGAAGCTGTCCCTTTCTCAATCCACATTCACTTTTTTCTTTCTCTGAACTTGGACAGTATTTATATCTGCATCACTCATTTTCACAACTGCTCCCACTGTGCCTTCGACTATTTACAGTAAATGAAGGTATGGCTTTCACCCTAACTTGATTAACTTTAAGGCTTGTCCCTCATTTTTACACCCCAGGGCCCAAACACATAACGACTACTCAGTATCCAATATATTCTTGTTCCAACTGAATCAAATCTCCGTCAACTTGACATTCTCCCCAGATTAACTAGGTGTTACCTGGAGATTCAATATACACTTCCTTTTGTGGGCCATTCACAAACATGTAAAAAGATCCATCAAAGATGAGATCTCTAGGAAACCCCAATGTTTATAATTTTCCATCTGGGAACGTAGCCACTTATCTTCCGCGTTGTTTATGGCCTTTAAGCCAATTCCACATTCATGATAAAACAACCCTTAGTGACTCAATTTTTTTAAAAACTGTCTTTAGAGTGGGATTTTCTCACAGGTTTTGAAAGTCAAATTAAATTGGGCACTGTGGTTCCCTCTTATCCATATGCTTATTTATCTGCTCAAAGAACTCAAGGAGATTAGTGAGGCAGTGATTTCCTCTTACTGACACCATGCTGCCTTCCCTCTAATAAGCCATGTTTACTTAAGTATTCAGCCACTCAGCTTTATTATACGTTCATTCAGTAAACATTAAATGCTTACTTCATGCAAGCTTCTACCAAATGGTCTCTTGTGATACAGAAAATATCTTAGCATATTAGTTTGATACATTAAGTGAAAAGGAACTTAAATAACGCATGGCTTCATTCTCCAACTGTGAGAACCCACCCCTGCTCATAAATCCAGGTGTGACTTCCATGTGCCCCTGGTGGAGAGTGACTGTGATGTGAGAGGCTGGTTTAGCTCCGAAATTGATGTGAGTTGCAGGCATCCCATGAGGGACTGAGAGAGCACCTTGGCAGACGGTGGGGTGACACCACGGGGAACTCCCCGACGTGAGTCAGTACTGAGCAAATATTTGAATTCAAAAACTGTTGAATGATGTATTTTTTTCCAACTCAAGAACACTGGGCTGACCAGTCTATGGGTCAGACCAGGGTGGCAGTTCCTCTATCTCGCTTTCCCATTTACATTTTTGAGGCCACTCCGTTCTGTGGAACGTCTTGCTCTGTCCTGCCCATTTTCCAAATGGACTCCTGGGGGCCTTACCACTTCCCCCAGCACTTCCAGAATTTGCTTCCGGTGCTGCAACCACAGTTTATCGTTAAACCTCAATCAATCTTCTTAGCATTTATAGAACCTCAGTTGTCCCAGCACCTCTGGACTTGGTTATTTTTGTTTAGATACCTTTAATTAGCTCCTCTTTGCTATCAGGTACTCAAGGAAGCTCTTTTAATATCTGTGGAAACTGGAGCTGGGCCACAGGACTCAGCAGAAATGGTCATCACTAGCGGTAGAAGGTTTTATTCCTGGCCTGTTATCAAGACTGTGAGCTGGGGAAGCTGTGGGGAGGGTGGGAAGAGATAGGGGTCTTTGGCCCATGTTAGGTTGGCCGAGTGGAGTGAGGGCACGGAGAGGATGTATTTCATCACTAAACCTGCTGCCAGGAGCTCCGAGTTCTGGTCCAAAATGATAGCAGAGAGAGCAGATCAGGCTGCAGGCATGCTTGTTCCCAGATTCCATGATTGTTTATGGAGCAGAGGTGGAAGGTGGTGTGGCCATAAGATGGTAGGGGTGCCAGTCCTCAGGTCCTCACTGGCAACACAGGGGTCACCTCTCCAGGCACATGTCCAGCCACACCATCCACTCGCAAGAGTCACATCTAAAGCCAAGTGATGGATTTGGTGAGTGGTTTATTAAGAGACATTAAAAACCTGGGGCCTGGCTGCCCCAGGTGCAGCCTCTCCAGGACTGCTTTCCCCTTCTCACCACAGCAATATGGGGATCATGGGACGAGTTCCTGTGAAACCACAGAGCCCTTGGCACTGATAAAGATTACTCAAGTTCTGAGGCAAATAAGTCACTGGTAACCTCGTTGCCCTCTGCATCTGCAGCAGGACCCCATCATGGGGTCAGGAGCACGCTGACCCGTCACACAGCTCACCAACAAGGCCAACTCCATTCAGTGCTCCAGGGGATCAGGCCACCTGTGCTGGGGCCACAGGGGCCTGCCTGCCAGCACCCACTGAGGAGAGAGGGGTCCTTGGCCAGTTAGCCGTAAACTTGCCCCCCTCCACCTGCAACTAGTACCTCTCCACTGACAGCTTTGGAAAACTTACTTATTGAGAGTTTCTGATCCCTTTTCTCTTAAATAAAACGTTGAATAAATTAAAACATTCTAGTTTTCCAATGGGAGTAGCAAGGTTTGAACTGTGAAAATGGTTTTGGTCCATGACTTAGGGAAGCACTCATCATTCCGGTCAAATCTTGATTACTTTTTTCAGCTTTGCATTTCTTGAGAAGGGTCTGCTCACATGACAGGTTCACAGCTCCGAGAGAGGCAGTAGTTCTTACCTAGAGCTCAGACAGACCCAGGGAACCGGAAAACACAGGTGTGCAACCTCATTTGCCTGAACCCCTGTCTATTTTGAGGCAGGTCTCTTGGTTTACATGCAACATTGTGCTGTGCACGGGAAGCCCTGCAGGCTGTTTCTGATCCCGGGATGAGACAAGGGAAGTCCCGGGTGACAGCCACATGGGATGCCTGCCCGCTGCAGTCCTCTCCTTTCACCACGTCTGGACATGGCTGGTCCTGAAAAAAACCAGGTCCAGGAAACTGCATTCGTATGAACTCTGACATCTTGGAAGGCACGGAGGGTTTCGTGGATCCCCAGCAGTGTAGTAACAGTACTGAGAGGTACTGATTTGAATGCCCAAATGTTCCATCAGTGCCTGGCAGAACTTCAAAATCTTGTTGAAAATGGTTTCATATTTTTTGTGTGTCTTACCAGACCCTTGTTGCAGCAGAAGGCCTTCTTTATATTTTTCAGAGAGAAATAAGTTAAAAATCTCATTCTTATATTTCTACCTTCTTTCTTGACTTTTGTGGGGGCAGAAGTGAAAATAAATGTGTAAACCAGGAGAGTAACATCTAGAATTCTGGGGAGAGGACAATAAATAAGCATAGGAGCAGTTCTGGTCTCTCGATGGCTGTGTTTCTGAACTGTCTCAGGCAGGGCTGCCATAGCCCGTTTCTTGTTTTTGAACAAACATGAAGAGGCCCCCTTTTTCCACCTGCTGATGCTAAGTTGGCAGACAGACCCCAAGTTTGGTCCAGCCCCACATGCCCCCAGGGCCTTAAATAAAATTTACTGTGTCCCCTTGAGCCCTGGACATGCCGCATAGTGTAACTGGAGGCCGCGCTCTCAGTCTAGTCACCGTCTAAAGCAGAGACAGGGAAGATGGTGTGATATTTATGACCATCTTCTACCAGCAAAGACTGAATGGACAAAAATTGTCCAGTGAAGATGGACACTTTAAATATTTCAAACCACCAAAATATAAGCCCTGCTTGGCTGAAATCTTTGTACAGCCAGAGAGCAGTAGTCATAGGTTGAAAATAGCACATGGTCTCAGGTATAGAATTTGAGGTTATCCAAGTGGCAAATGATAGAAGCCTAGAGTTCTCATGGACTGTAACACAGGGAGGGGCAGTGCAAGGTGTTTCTCACACCCGGCGAGGAGGGACACGGGTGGTGCCATGGAACTTCCTCGTCTGTGCACGGTTGTGTGAGGAAGCTCATAACAGCGGACCTGGCCTTTTTGTGATCATGGCATGCTTTCTGACAGTAATATTTTTGCATCCTCCTTGACATACAGAGCACCAAACAAATTAGCAATGCTCACTCCATCACCACTGAGGTAAAACAGTGTCTCTTGGAGTCTTTAAAAGCACCTCGCTCTCTTTACCTGTTGACTGCCCCGCCAAGGCATCACGGAGATTATATGGGCCTTGAGCCAATGTTCTAGCATGTTCCAGGACACAGGACAACTAATTTGGCGATGGGTTCATATCCTATTAAGCCTTCTTCATAGTAACATGCACACCCAGTTATGGCGAAAATGCCCTGCGTGCATTTTGCAACACTCTGGGAACAGGCTGGTGGTTCTTATGTGACTCTGCTGGGCCACTGGAGAATCACTGGGCTGGCCCATGATAAGCATGGTTGTTCTCTCCACGTGAGCACAGGATGCGGCGGTGTTGGTTTTAGTAACTTGCTTCTCAGGGTTATGTGATTCTTCAATGTTTAAAGTTTATGGTTAGTTGGTCTAACAAGTTAGACCCTATTTTAAGAGATCTTAATTGAAAAGACAAGCACATTCAACTGTCCAAGGGAAACTTAGCAGGGGAGCCAAGAGTCCTCAACTGAACCATCGCTGCTTAGCAGGCCAGTGTTTCCTAATTATTGGAGAATTAACCCCAAACTAATGAAATCATGTGAAAAGCACTTTGTTACTTACAAGAGCAACAAGTATTTGTTATAAACCACCCCATTCCCATCTCCGAGTCAACTGTGAGCTCCTTGAGGGCAAGGATTCCACTCTTGGACTGGATAGTTTCAGAGCCACCATAGCACCCGGGCACACAGTAGGTGCTCAATAAGTGTTCAGAGCTTGATGGTCCTACGACTGACAAGATTCCAGCTGAGGGAGAGGAAGACTCCAGGCTTGGAGTTTGGGTTAGGATAGGGTTTTCAAACATTTTTGACTGTGGCCTCCAGTAATAAATATACTTCACATCAGGACAAAAATATATACTCTCTCTGTCTCTGTCTCTGTCTCTCTCCCTTTCTCAGAACCCCATAAACCACCACCCATCTTTCCTTAGGTTGAAACACTTCATTACACGAAGCATGGGATGAGACTGGATTTTACTAATGTACAAATATCCATAATGTACAATTTCCTCCTTTGACTCTGGAATCTAAACAGATGGGTTATGTTCCCCAAAATCCACAATCCTGTACAGTGACCACGGCACTCCTAAAGAATTTCATTCTAAATATAGAGAGGTATTTCTCTGCAGAAGAATATCCCAGCAACTTGGTTCTACTATATAATTAAATCCACCCAGATACTTTGCAGTTATGTTTTATAGCTTATTTTGAGTGTTCACATTTTATCAGAAAATTATAATTTTCCTCTAAACATGAGTTTTTACAAGGCTTTTGAGTTATGATGGCTGGCTTCATGTTTCAACTACAAGGAAAACAGTGAAAAGAAATAGCAAAACTGCATATCACATGTGGTTCTAAAGAATGCTTGGTCCTCTAATCCCCCCAACTTTGCCACGCCCTGTGACCCCAGGTGCTCTGAACAGCAGTGGTGACCCCCAGTTTGACCACTTGGTAGGAGCAGCTGGTTTTAGAAAGGACAAGAACGGCCTGGGAGGAAGGGATGAGGACATTCTTTGCGTATGTCCAGACTCAGCTGGACTGTCTCTTCCTCAGAGAAGCTTCCTGGCCCTTTAACCCCCTATCATTTTCTCACCTTGCCCTCCCTCCCCCTTTATAACACTCACTGTCTCATGAACTGTAATGACATCCATTTGTTAGTTGAGAAGCTGTCGGCTTCCCCACTAGACCATCAACTCCAAGAGGACCAATGGGCCAATGTAACGTCTTCTTTATTCAGCACCATATAGCCAACTTCTTAACATGTATTAGACATTCGACATAAGTTCGTTGAATTAGAAAAATGAATGAATGAATCAGAGAACACAGAAGCATCCCGACAGCAGTTCTGGAAGCAGCTCTGTCAGGACATGCTTCTGAAGGGCTCTGTTTTCCCTTCCCCTCCCCAGCACTCCCCACCGCTCCCCTCCCACCACACACACACACATACCAAGGACCCAAACGTGAGTCTGCCAACTCCTGGCCCAACCTAACCAATCCAGCCAGAAAACCCCTCCCACATCGCTCAGACAGGAGACTCTGTCCCAGGAAAGACTAGCCCATCTCCACGAAGCCTGCTGTTGGGTCCCCAGGGAACCCTCGCTCAGCAGGGGGACCTCAGAACACACAGAAGCCGCTGAGTTATTTACAGTGATGCCCACAGAGGAGCAAGGTAGATCTGGGCCAGCAGAGCATCCCCATCTGCTCCCGGTGGGCCCTCAGCCACGGCTCTTTTGTCCATGAGCCTTTATATTCTTCTTTATGTCCTTGCAGGAGAAATCTCCTAGTTGTTGGTCACGGGTGAGTCTCACCAGAAGGTTTATCATGGACTATATTGCCACTGAGGTGACTGTGGCTCCCTTGTGTCCTAACTCTGCTTGTTGCTTTCCATCAGGCGTCGGGTTTGGAGTCCAAACAAGTAGCCAACAGTGTCCTGTTTTTACGCGACAAAAGATGGAAAGAGGTCAGAAGTGTCCTGACTTCTGCTTTCACTCCTGAAAAGCTGAATGAGGTAAGACACGGGAAACACAGGCTCTTCCGTAGGAACAGGTTTCTTCTCTTCAAATTGTGACAGGCAGCTGCTTCACGTTGTGTCACCTGCCCGGGTGGCATATCAAAATGCCCTGCCTGTTGTTGTTGCAGCCTTCAAACCTCCCTATGATCCAAAAAGCCAGGATCCTGGAGTATCTTTCACTTCTCCAGCCTTCCACATCCCCAGCTGCCACGAATCTATTATGAATCAGCAAGCATTTGCTGTGTGCCTGCTAAGTCCCAAGGCTCTGCCCCTACCCGGCACCTGGGGGGCAGCCAGGAGCAAGCTGGAGGGGTCTCCTCATCCTTTCATGTGTAATGGATCACCTGGGGATCTTGTCAAAATGCAGATTCAGATTCAGCAGGTCTGGGGTGGGACCTGAGATTCTGCATGTCTAACAAGCCCCCAGGTGATGCGGATCCTTCTGAACAGTGAACCACACTTTATACAGCAAGGCACTCGAGAACATCGTGAAACAAAGCTGAGCTTTGAGTCAAGTCTGAAATAGGAAAGAGACAGCCATGGATTATCGGGGAGAAGTATGAGGCTGTCCTTTGCAGGACTATGGATGGCAGGTGTGCCCAGGATAACCTTCGCGGCCAAGTCAGAGAGAAGAGCCTCATTTACAAGATGCTCTTAAACCCGGGGTTCCCTCCTTCCCCACCCAGGGGCCCACCTTCCCTACCTGGTGCACAAACAAAACATACTGTGTGTCCTGCTTCCTGGCCAAGTTCTCTCACACTTGATCCTCACTGATGGCCCCTCAATTGCTGGTCTGGCTTTGATATCTCCTCTGAATTCTGCAACAGCAACAGTTCAGGACTGAGTCCTTGAGCACCCTCTGATGTGAAGTGGCTAAGGGGCTGCCTCAGTCTGAGTCCCAGGTGCACTGGTAACTCCAAAGCAACTGCCCTTCCACAGCCATCCACCACATCTAGCTGTTCCAGAATGCCTGGGCTTGGTTGAATACATGAGTCTCAGTTTATAGCACCAGCTAATACACACAGCATTATTAAGTGTGTATCAGCACACTTAATCCTCAGCACATCCTGGTGAGGCAAATACTATTATCACACCCATTTTACAGATGAGGCAGCTGAGGCACAAAGAGATTAAGTAACATGCGTCATGTCACACAGCTAGTAAGTGTGGCAAAGCCAAGGTTAGACCCCAGCTCCAGAAGTCTCTTAACCTCTCTGCTTGATTGCTTCTCTTATCTCCCTGTGATTTGCCATGTCCTGAAGCTCCCTAGGACTGTCCCAGGGGTTGTTAGAAGGGTGGAGCAAATGGTACCTCTGTGGAAACTTAGCAGGATCAGAAGCAACACCCCTCTATTTTCTGCCTAAGTTTGGAACCAGCTGAGGTGTGGAAACAGGTTTCAGACAGAAACCTCCTTTCTCATTGGCAAAACTGTTTGAGAAATGGAGCCCTGCGCTCTGGCGGTGGGGGGCTTGCTAACACTTTTCCCGGAATGGGACAACTACAGCCTCCCCGACAGCAGTGCGGCAGAGAGCACACGCCAGTGTGGACCCCAGATCCCACCCGGCTCGCCCATGCGTGCTCAGTTCCTTCTTCCCATGCCCCAGCCTGCTAAGGGTGGGGGTGCTGCGCAGGGCTCAGCCCTCCTCGGCTGCAGGTGCACGCTGGAGTCACCTGGGGAGCCTTGAAGACCACTCCTGTCTGGGTTGCACATCTAGAAGTTGAGATTAAATTGGTTTGGTTTGGAATGCAGCCTGGGTCTGAGGGGGTGTTACAGCTCCCCAGGCGATTCCACCGTGAAGCCAGAGCCGGCAACCACCACAAGTCAAAGTTCCCCACAAAGAAACTGAAGGAGGGGGGCATCCTGCTTCAGCCGGAGCCAGAAGCCCTGTTCCACATTTAGCTGTGTTAATATACTGAGGTTTCACGGGAGAATTTGTTCAAAGGAAGGGCTGCTCCTTTAAAAAGGTGTTAAGCATATTTTGGTCGCCTTTATTACATCTAGTCGCTAAAAATGTTGAGTTACCCAAAAGAGAGGGTGGGCAGGAGAGGTAGATAAACCATGGGTTGACATTACTAGCTCAAACATGTTGCATCATACTTCCGGATTCGTGAGTAAACAATGGCTTGACAGCCCAATAGATGCAGAAAGAATTTCGTTGTTTGTTAAAAAAGAAATTGATGAAGGGTAACTGATTTTTTAAGAGAGAGACAGAGAGACAGAAAGAGAGAGAGAGAGAAAGAAAAAGAAAGAAAGAGAAAGAAGAAGAAGAAGAAGA